AGTCTGGCTCTCGTTGCCCAAACTGGAGTGCAATGGCGTGATCTTGGCTCACTGCAACTTTCGCCTCCCGGATCCAAGCAATTCTCCTGCCTAAGCTTTTTGTGTAGCTGGGATTACAGGCATGCACTTCCACGGCCAGCTAATTTTTGTCTTTTTAGTAGAGACGGGGTTTCACCATGTTGGCCAGGTGGGTCTGGAACTCCTGACCTCAAGTGATCCACCCGCCTCAGCCTCTGAAAGTGCTGGGATTACAGGCGTGATCCACCGCACCCAGCCTGAACCCCTACTTTAATAGCAAGCTTGGTCCCAAGTTTTAAGCTATGATTGGTTTAATACCAAATACCTAGAGGCTGACCGCCAAAACCTCAAAGTGATTTACCTCAAACAGTTCAGACAGGAACTTAGTGAGTGAGTACACAGGAATGAATTGCTGTCATTCAGGTAGCCACTGTGTATCTTACCTTTATCATTAATTCTTGCCCTTGCACATTGAATAAAAAGGGCAGGCACTATTTGGTCTCTTGATCTTTATTAAAAATCCTGAATATAGAAGTTCATAGTTCTGACAATAATGTTTCCTCAACTCACTGTTGACAGAAAACCACATGCTGTAATCTAGTTATTTATTATTCAGCATCTCTAACTTCCTATAGGGTTACTATTTTTGTTTCCTAAGGTGGTTGTATATATTATACTGTTGTATACACTATACAAAAGACTTGCATACCATATGCAAGCAGATGACATGCCTGTGAATCCCTTATGTGACAGCTTGTTACAGCCATCCGACAAACCTGTTGGCAGATGGTTCCAATACCTGATACAAAAATAAAAGGATTGTACAGAAAAGGGCATGACTGGCTTGTAACGACAGGTAGTTAGTTACAAAGAAACGACATATCCTTCAAAAGGAAAGATGACAACTTTTATTGTTATTACAAAAGCAAATTTAATGTGTCATTTGAGTAATTGCAAGAGCAGACTAAGGGCTTAATCCTCACACAGGCACCAAGTCAGGCACAGTAGGTAGCTACAAATCATAATAAAAAGATTTCTTTCCTACCTAGAGCACTCTTCTATGCTTTGGAATTAGACTAAAAAAACTCAGCAAACCTAATCAGTTCCCTTTAATCCTGTTTTTTTTTAAAAATGTGATCTAGGTATTAACCTGCTGTCTAGTGAAAACAACTAGTTACTAAATCCTGGCCTGAGAGATACCCACATTTCCTTTAGAATAAACAGAACAAGTAAGTGTGAACATTTGAGAGCCCAATGTGTGAGTCCTTAAAATGTAGACCTTGCAGGAGGCTCAGACCTCAGTTTCACCTAACGCATGTGGAGGAAATGGCGGTGAGAACAATCACCTGAGGAGTGCAAGAGCTCCAACTCCAGCACACGCACTCTTCCCCAGGCAGCAGGAAAAGGAGGTAGCAAGGACTTGGGCTGACATTTGAAGCACTAAGCAAACATGTGCCTGGCAGAGGGGAGCCTCAGGAAGCACAAAACGTCATTCCACCTGTGCTGTCCACAAACCTGACGTTTCCACGTAGTTTTAAAGGGCACAGTGGCAAATATGATAAGGCAGAAAACCATTTCAAGGATCACTTAAGGAATCCTGTTGTTTTCTGCCTAATCAGACATAGTGCCAATCTGCTTTTCCCTTATACTGAAGAATATAAAGGTTTTAATCTCTACTCCCACACCTTCAGGCCCTTATAATAATCCTTAGTAAACAAGTCATCTAGCATTATTGTTTCAAGGAAGCATAGGATCAGAGGTATGTGAGAAGTGTATTTATTGAAGGGAAGATGCAGTAAATTCTAGGATATTGAAAAGTCAAGAATATCCTAGAGCTAAAAACCATCCAAGGTTGAACCAATCTACCCAAACTGAATTCTGACAGTAAACTGGGTCAAATACAATCCACAGCTTTACTAACAGAAAATAAAAACACTTCCTATTCCATTTACTATGAAATCTAATCTAACCGACTGCTAAATTTAAAACTAGTTAAGTCTTTTGTGCATACGTGATTATACTTACTTAACAAGTTGCTGTCGTGGCAAGATCTCTAAAGAAAAAAACAAGATGATGAATGTATTAGATGGCATCTGCTAGAATCACTGAAAAAATCAGCTGGCAGAAATAAAAGCCTTATTATCTGGAGATAGATCATCATCACCAAGTCCGCTGGTTGCTCTCTACCTTACATATGTTTGTGAGAGGATTAATGGCACAGTTTGTTCTGATAAGGTAGGCCAACAATGAATTTAACATTTAACCATCCTAAAATCAGAGCTACAGTGCTATAACCAGATTCTTCACAGAGTTTTAAAGTTGAAAGTTGCCTAATGTTACCAGCTGTAATAAAACTGCATGTTTTCCCCTCGACTACCTTAAATCTCTACCCAAAGCAATGAAGCTATCTTCCATGAAATAGTGGTCCATGAGGAAGTCCATGCCACTAAGGAAAGGCGTTAGAGTGCTGTCATGTGTAATAGTCATCAAAGATCACGGAGTAATTACAGTCATTACTAGTGTTCCTGAAGATCGCCAGGGGAGTTTAGTTGGTTTTTTTTTCCCAGAGTTCATCTTGGGAGCAGTTTTCAACTATTGGTTCATCTTTTTTCTTGGGTTACAAAACCATCTGGCTCCAAGTCTGACCCAAAATATTCGCAGCGCTTCAGCTGAGCAGATGCCGGCAACTATTCAACTACATCGCAGTTCAAAGTCCGATGTTGTGAGAGCAGTAACCAGCAAATATGAGTTACCTCTTGTTACAGTGAACAACCTGCACTGTTGAAGTTTAGGAATTTTTGACAGTCAGCTATCAAATATTTCAAAGATTTTCAACTCCAAACAAAAAAAATACATGGGCTTAATAATTCAGTAACATTTTACTATCTGTCACTTAATCTCAAGACAATACACATTCAGTCCAACTCTTCTGGTTTCATTTTACATAGATTTTCACTGGATAAGTTACTTTTGCAAATTAAAAACAAGAAATGAGTGCTGTACTTCCCCCTTTCCCACAGTAAGAAACAAGGGTTTGATATGGCAATTACTTAGATATTTATTTCAATATTTCTTAAATTCAGTTTATTAATTAAAAAAACTAATCTAGCATGAAAGTTATATAAAGAACATCATTAATGTAAAAAGATGCAAAAAAAATTTAGTAGTAGAGCTACGTTAGAGAAAAAAATGCTTAGGTAATACCGTAAATATGCAGCCAGCTACCCTATTTTTGCACTGTCGACCATATAAACACGTTTGCATTTGCAGAAGACAGAGAGGAATTTCTGTTGCTCTATGAAGGTCCCACATCTTCACATTACTGCCAAGTTCAACTTAGACTTTTTATTTCCTTATCCAAATGAATAGCCAGTGTAAACAGGAGTTTAAAATGCATCAACTTTAAAAAGATGAGAATACTTTTCAAAGCCCCTAGAACTTACGTTGTTGGTTAATTTTAGCACTGAAATTTCTTTTGAATAATCTAATCTTGCAAATGTGCAAGAATCCAGTAGAATTTTTATAGTTACATATATTTGTATTACCTGTTACTTTTTAGAGGTAGGCCCTTCACAGTTTATATCCAAGTTACTTAAGAGTCTTGGCAACATGTACATAATATTTTAACAGTGTAAATGTTTTAGTAGCAAACATAAGTGAGTTTTTAAAAATGTGTTCAATTTAGAAAGAGAACTCTTATCTCTGGAAGTGATTTCAGTGGCTCTTGAACTTTTGAATATTCGTTAAAACTCAAGCAATTGCTAGTATTTGTTTTTATTACCATGGAATTACAAAAAGAACTATTATGTTTTGATTAAAGCTCCTATATTTTCCAGAAAAATAAAAGCCCAGAGATTTGCAGACATAATAAAATTTATTTAAATTTCATGCAATTTAATAGCTATAATTATAGTTTTAAGAAGCTGTAGGACAGTAACATTGTCTATAAGACATAACCTCATCCATGAAATGAATGGGAATTTTGTAGTTAAGAAAACACTAGGCCAGGTGCAATGCCTCAGACTCATCATCCCAGCACTTTGAGAAGCCCAGGCAAGATCACTTGAGATCAGGACTTGAGACCTGCCTGGCCAATACAGTGAAATCTTGTCTCAACTAAATACAAAAATTAGCTGGCAGGCTCCTGTAATCCCAGCTACTCAAGAGGCTAAGGCAGGAGAATTGCTTGAAACCATGAAGCAGATGTTGCAATGAGCCATGATCGCACTACTGCACTCCAGCCTGGGCAACAAGAATGAACCTCTGTCTTAGAAAACAACAACAACAACAACAAAAAACATATTAGATTAAGTTTTATGTTTTGTGACTGGAAATGCAGTTTGTCTAGGCTTTTCTTTTCTGAGGAGCAAAATTACAGGGAAGGGATTTGTTATTAAATATACAATTACAAAGTATCATATTTAGAGATAAATCACAATCTAAAAGAGGCCATCTTTGACAAATGGCAACACTCAACATCAAGGGGGTTTCTGTTAAACCCAAACTGCCTCCATTTCTCATTTATTCTCATGAAAAATTTATCTCTCATGATAATCATAGCAGAAAGTCATTCAGTCTAAAACCACCACAATGGTGCATTGTGGTTCATCAAAAACGTGGTTAGCAAATATCAGCTTTACACTTAAGAAAACTCAGTCAATTTCACATAATTGAGATAAAACTTACACTTGTGCTTGATTCTTCTTATCGCTTATAATTTTAGTCTGTGCAAATTCTGGTGATTCTAAATATGTTCATTTAGTTGCTGGGTTGAGATTTAGTTTTAACCAGCAAGGATCATCCAACCTTTAAAGTTACTGATACAAATAGTAAACTGGGTAACTTGTAGAACTGACACTTGCAACTGATAGGGTTTTCAAACTAGAGGCATGCAGCTCTTCTAAATACTAAAAGAATAATTTCTGCCAGGTCTCAAACATGCTTTATTTGTTGTGAATTCCACTAATCTAATGAGTTAATGGAATTTTCTCTAAGGGTACAATTTCATTAAGCTTTACTTATAAAACACAGTATGCTGTTCTTCTATTTTAAAACAACTTACTGTGTTTAAGAAATCATGTTACAATATAAATTGGCAAAAAAAACAAAAACCCTAAAAGACCTGGTAAAGCAGTATCACAGTTGGGTAAAGGGATTTAACTGCATGTATGCATTAACCATCAAAAGAAGGGGTCAAACTAATCCTTTCCTTTAATACAAACTTGAACACTGTGAATGCCTCATTTAAAGTAGTGGGTAGGGAAAGAGTTTAGAAAAGTCCAAGTAATAAAATGTATTCAATTACTTGGGAAAGTTAAAAAGCTAATGCAACAATGTTACATCCAGATAAAAAACACTATTCAAAAGCAATTCAAATACCGAAAAGGATTTCAAATTGAATATTTTATTAACATGGTAGTTGTCTTTGTAACATGTGCACACACACTCGCACACTCAGAATGATCTGCCTGGGGAAAAAAATACTAAATATGCCTAAAAGGGGAAAATGAAAAATAAAAAAATTCTTGTAGGTTTTCATTATTGTAGGCAATTATGTCCACATCACTTACAAAGCTATTGCCAAATCTGTCCAAGGAAGCAGAGTTTGAAGGAGGGGGCTAGGGGCGAGAATCTTGGGAAAAATTCAACAGTGGCATAGCAGAGCTCTCAATATGAGAAAGCTGATATAATGTGGACTTTTGCTGTGAATTTTCTCTTTGCAAAATATGGGGAGTGGTTTATCAATGGGCAGAAAATAAGAGAAGGCGGTGTGAAGTAGGCTTCTGTAGTCAATTTTCCTCACAGTATTGTGCAGGATCATCAAGAAAATGCTTAGTCTTTCTCTGGAACCAGTTTCAGGACTTTTCCAATTGCAATTGTCTTACCTAGAAATGAAATTAAAAAAAAAAATCTTTCAATAGTGAATAGCAAGTCTACGTAAGATATTAAGCTTATTATTTTAAATCACAAAAATATTTTTAACAATTTAAATTACTAATTAACTAGCTTTACTGCCAAATCCAAGATACTTCTATTTAGGTAGTCTTAATAAGTGGGTCTTAGCCAGGTGTGGTGGCTGACACCTGTAATCCCAGCACTTTGGGAGACTGAGGTGGGCAGATCATCTGAGGTTGGGAGTTCAAGACCAGCCTGACCACCATGGAGAAAACCCTGCCTCTACTAAAAATACAAAATTAGCCAGGTGTGGTGGCGCATGCAGTGAGCCAAGATTGTACCATTGCAATCCAGCCTGGGCGATAAGAGCGAAACTATGTCTCAAAAAAAAAAAAAAGTGGGTCTTATTTAAGAGAGCTGGTAAACAGATGGTTCCCTGTAACGAAAACCTATCTTTCCCCACCCCCAACCCTGAGATGTAATCTTGCTTTGTAACCCAGCTGAAGTGCAGTGTCGTGGTCTCAACTCACTGCAACCTCAGCCTCCTGGGTTCAAGTAATTCTCCTGCCTCATCCTCCGAGCAGCTGGGATTACAGGCGCCCACCACCATGCCCAACTAATTCTTGTATTTTTAGTAGAGATGGGATTTCACCATGTTGGCCAGGCTAGTCTGGAACTCCTGACCTCAAGTGATCTGCCTGCCTTGGCCTCCCAAAGTGTTGGTATTATAGGCATAAGCCAGTGCACATGGCCCTCTTTTTTTTTTTTTTTTTAAGAAGACAGAGTGTCTCACTCTGTAACCTAGGCTGGGGTGCAGTGGTGCAATTTTGGCTGACTGCAACCTCCTCCTTCCATGTTCAAGTGATTCTCCTGCCTCAGCCTCCCTAGTAGCTGGGATTACAGGTAGCTGCCACCATGCTTGGCTAATTTTTATATTTTTAGTAGAGGCGGGGTTTCAACATATTGGCCAGGCTGGTCTTGAACTCTTGGTCTCAGGTGATCCGCCCGCCTCAGCCTCTTGAAAGTGCTAGGATTATAGGCCTGAGCCACCATGCCAGGCCAAAAACCTCTTTGGATTAAAAAAAAAAAGGGAATATCTGTATTTTTGGAATATCCACACAATGGACTACTATTCAGTGATAAAAAGGAATAATAACATGCCACATGGTTGAACCTCAAAAACATACTAGGTAAAATAAACTAGACACGAAAGACCACATATTTACAATTCTATTTATAGAGTATCTATAGAAGACAAACTGAAAAGTGGTTGTCTAGGACTGGAGGTGAGAATAAGAGGTGGTTATCAACAGGTATAAGGTTTCTTTTTAGGTGTTCCAAATGTTCTAACATTAGTATATGGTGTTAGTTGTACAATTCTCTAAACATACTAAAATTCATTGAATTGCATATTTAAAACAGGTCAATTTCATACTGTAGAAATCATATCTCAGTAAAGCTGCTAAAAAAAAAAAAACCCCAAACCTATCCTTAAGTAACTGAAAAGATACAGCAGTTGCCACTGACTACAATGCAGTGAAAACATCCTTCTGGTAGTGCTCCTGTGTACTGAAAGGGATACAAAATCCATTGGGTCTTGTGGAAAACCTAAAACCCAAGTTATCTTTTAGAAAACAATAATTCTAGGGTTAAGAATTCCTGCCACATTAATTGCTTTCTTCTGTCTTCCTGATTTTATCAGGTTCTGAATGGTAAACTAAAACTATCATTTTGTTTTGTTAATAGGATAAATCCAATAACCAGTTTTATTATCAACAAGAGGAGTTCTGGGACTTTAAAGTAAAATAAACACTGTCTTTATACAATTTTCTCCAATGTAAGGTTCAAGAACTGTATTAATCATGAGGGCTTAGCACAGTTCCAGACACTTTGTAGATACACAGTAATTTTTGCTAAATGGAATTGGAATGAACATGTAAAATGACTATTCTGTATTTCAATGGAACTATAAAGTTTTATGTAAAGTTTTCTATAGTCTTAAAATGGTTATCTAAGTTCGAAATACTAACAGCCCATAGGGAAATGTTTCATAACAACCATTTTCTTTTTATGCCAAAGAATTTCATGACCCCAAGATGGGAATACTAGTTGTTCTGCCTCACCCAGAGGTAGGCAGAAATGGATGCACACAAAAGGTCACAAACATTAGACATCTGAAAAATTAGGTGTTAAAAAAATCAATCTCTAGATCCCCTTTAATCTCTAGATCTATTACAAAGGATTCATCATAGAAATGTCTTACTTAGTAAACAAAATAGCCCTCCAAATCCACTACTCAAAAACCATCAAAATTAAGATTCTTCATGTAGAGCATTACTGGATTTGGCATTACTGGATTTGGCTAAGAAACATAGTCAATTCTGTTCATTCATTCAACTCATAAGACACTCATACGAATGTAGAATGTGAATCCAAGTTTCCTATGAACCTGTTGCAGTGTGTACTGTACTGAAATGATGAAGATGACCAAAGCTAGGTATCATGGATGTACTACTAGATGTCAGTTTAAAAGCTCTTACCCTCATCTCTTAAGGTAAAACGACCCATCTGAGGGAAGTCTTTAAAGGTCTCAAGGCAGATGGTTCCTGCTGTCCTCAAGCGAGCAATGCATACTTGATCTTGTTTCACAAAACGGGGTCGGGTCTTACTTTTTTCTCCTGATTTTTTGTCTACCAAGCAGATTAAGGCCTAAACAGAAAAAGAGTATGAGAAAATTAGAATAATGCCAAATAAAAGGATCTTTAAGGACAGGTATAGAAATAAAAGTACATCACTGTTGCTGATTAGAATCATCAAGATAAAACAGTAATAAAACCAAAATAAACCAATTAACTTAAAACAAACTCACTGTTATTTCAACTTCCTCAATACAGGTATGAATATGCAGCACCGCATTATAGCCTGGGCAGATGATGGATTTGTGCTCTATAATTACAATCTGTGAAACAAACACACACACACATTCTTATCTTTATCCTTAGGGTAAAAAAAGAATTCGGTGTTCTCAAGTGCCATATAATATCTCAAGAATTAGTGTTACCATCTCAGTTGAAGACCAACTTAAATGATTTTTTGTCAGAGGTGATAGGTTTGTCTTACTAATTTGTTCATAGGATGTGTCAGGCTGCCTGACCTCAAAGCATGAATTTCAATATCCTATACCCTGTTTATCTTCTTGCCAAGTGCCTGGTCAACTTTAAAAACACAGCAGGCTGGCCAGCCGCAGTGGCTCACACCTGTAATCTCAGCACTTTGGGAGACCAAGGCAGGGAACCGGGGAATCACTTGAGGCCAGGAGTTTGAGACCAGCCTAGCCAACATGGTGAAAACCCCATCTCTACTAAAAATACAAAACAATCAGCTAGGCTTGGTGGGTGCCTGTAATCCCAGCTACTCAGGAAGCTGAGGCAGAGAACGGCTTGAATCCCAGAGGTGGAGGTTGCAGGTGAGCTGAGATCATGCCACTGAACAGAGGGCAACTCCATTTCAAAACAAAACAAAAGACAAGCAGGCCAACTTACTTCTCTCTGGGAAGCCTTTCCTTATATTCCCCAAGGAATTAAGCTAATCATTACTGCTCAGAAGCTATCTAGATGTAAACTTACCACAGCTTTATCCATTTGTCAGTATCTAAGTTCCAGTAAACAATCTTAAATCTGGCATCAAAATCTAATTTAATTAGTTGTCACACCTTATAACAGAACTAAAAAATTCTATTAACCATGCCATTCATTTACTCTGTCATTCTCCCAAGGGAGTTAGGTTAGTAACAGGGAAAACTGTGTGATTTCTTGTCTGTAAAAGCTATGTGCTCTGAATGAGCACATAAACCATGACTTGCACAGTAACTGTGGTCTGGTCAAAATAAATAATATTCTAAAATGTATCAAAAGATCAAACATAAAAAGGAACCTACAAAGAATACACCTTATCCAGTAAGCACTTGTACCAGCTTGAAGGCCTTGTGTGTATAAGGTACCTATCATGTATGAGGTACCTATTTCCATTGCCCTTCTACACACTTAAGCTGGGTTAACTGGCACATCACCAATAATCGGGACAAAAGGCACGGACATACTAATTTAATTTAGCATTAAAACCCATTATGACAATGACAATAATTTGTTTACCTGGGCATCAAATGTGCGTCCAGAATGACAAAGATTATTAGGATCACAAAGTATAAATCCTGGAAGAATCTCCTCTTCTTCAATTCCTTTCAGTCTGATTTTGAGGTTTTCACCTGGGGCTACAGTATCAGTTTCTACATCATCAGAAAGTATTCCAAGAACTTCCACATTGTGCTTTAAAAGAAACCAAGATTGAAGGTTTTCTGACACATTTCACTGCATTACAGAACATAAAATGATCTGAATGTCTGCTCAATGAAGAGTTACAAGTCATATTTTTCTGTGGTTGTTGATTAGGCAAAATACTTATTTGACTGTAAACTCCTATTATGTCTGTATGACATAAAATCTTAGCCTAGATATGATCAGTGAAAATCATATCCTAGAAGTATAACTGCCAATTAAAGTATTAACGTGTTTGCTGTTAAAAGAAAGTCATTAAGAGGGGGAAGAAAAAAAAATATTAACATGTCACCTTTTAAATATCACATTCTAATCATTTCCAAATAGAACACTGTATACACTAGCATTTACCTTTTTCACTTTTTCAAAATAAAAAACACAATTTAATATTTGGATTTCAGCTTTATGAATATAATTTTTATTACGAAATTCAATGAAGGATTTAGGCTGGGCACGGTGGCTCAAGCCTGTAATCCCAGCACTTTTGGAGGCCGAGGCGGGTGGATCACAAGGTCAAGAGATCGAGACCATGCTGGTCAACATGGTGAAACCCCGTCTCTACTAAAAATACAAAA